CAGCTGGGGGAAGGGAAGGCGGCCTCACCTTGGCGGGTCGGCCTCCGCCATTGGCCGCGGCGCCTGCCAGTCTGGCCCCAGGGGGGCCGGGGCAGGCAGGGCCCCGCGGCCGCCGTGGGGCCGCTCCCGATTGGCCGCGGGGCCCGGCTGCGCGGGTGGGGCTGGAGGCGGAGCGGGCCAATCGGGAGGCCGCCAGTGCGCCGCGGCCTCCTCGTTAACCCTTCCGCTCCCAGGGCGGCGGAGGCGCGGCGCCCTCTCCGGCCGGCCCTTCCGACGGCGCGGCGAGCGTTTGGGCTGCGCGCGGAATGCTTCGACGCGGGGAAGGCCTCGCAGGTAGGCTCCCCGGAGGGCTTGGCAAAGCTGCCTTCCTGCCGCGTACGTGAGCACAGGAGGCAGCAGCCTTCGACGGGGCCAGACGGACGCTCCCTTTAAGCTGCGGAGTCTTGTGAGCGAAAATTCTACTAAAGCTGTGAGCGAGCGGTTTGGCTTCTGCATCAGTTAGGTTGCCCTGGAGCCACGGCAAAAATGTGTGAGCTGGAGGCTAAAGAACTGTGAGCTAGCTCACACTAACTCAGCTTAGAGGGAACCCTGGACCAGATCAATGCTCCCTCTAAGCTGCGGAGTCTGGTGAGCAAAAACTCATATTTTGTGAACCCCTGGCACGAAAGTTGTGAGCGAGCGATTAGGCTACTGCATAAATTACTTTACTCTGGAGCCCGTCCTTCCTGAGCGAAGGCAAAAGTGTGTGAGCCGGAGGAGGCTAAAAAACGGTGAGCTGGCTCCCATTGACTCCGCTTAGAGGGAACACTGGCCCAGACCCTCCGTCCCTCAAAGCCAGTCTCGTCTGCTCAGGCTGGCAGCAGCTCTCTAGGGCCTGTGGCAGAGGAAGGTCTTGCCCCACCCCTTCCACCCCTGGCCCTTTTTAACAGGAGATGCTGCCACCGGGGACTGAACCATATGACCCCTCCCAAGCAGCGTAAGACACTGCATGAGCCAGTCTGGCATGGTGGTTAAGGTGCACGGACTCTAATCTGGGAGAACCGGGTTTGATTCCCCACTCCTCCACTTGCACCTGGCTGGGTGACCTTGGGCAAGCCGTAGTTCTGATAAGAGCTGTCCTTGAAAAAGCGCCCTTTCTGTCAAGAGCTCTCTCAGCCCCACCCGCCTCACAGGGCGTCTGTCTGTTGTGGGGAGGAAAAGGGAGAGGAGTTTGTAAGCCCCTCTGGGACTCCTTCGGGTAGTGAAGGGCCATTGCTCTCTCGGCTCCCCCTACCTCAGAGGGTGTCTGTTGTGGGGAGGGGAAGGGAAAGGAGATTGTGAGCCACTCTGGGACTCCTTCGGGTAGTGAAGGGACATGGGGTAGAAATCCAATCTCTCCTCTCTCTCTCTCTCTCTCTCTCTCTCTCTTAACATCTGCCATATGCTGAATCAGACCTTCAGTCCATCAAAGGCGGTCTCGTCTACTCAGGCTGGCAGTGGCTCTCCAGGGTCTGCAGCAGAGGAAGGTCTTTCTCCTCGCCTCCCGCCTGGCACTTTGAACTGGAGATGCTGCCGGGGATGGAACCAGGGACCTTCTGCCTGCCAACCAGACGTTGTACTGCTGAGCCATGGCCCCGCTCCAGAGCTGCCTTGGTCACTCCGCCTCGGGGCACTGAAAGGCTGAGATGTTTGCCTGTGCCAGAGCCCTCGAGAGACCAAGGAGATAGGAGACCACCGAGGGAGTCCAGCGGTGCCACACAGAAACAGACTGGGGCAGACCACCTCTGTCCATCTCTTGCCTTGACCCAGATGGACCAGGCTAGGCCGGTCTCGTCAGGTCTCAGAAGCTAAGCAGCACTTCCATGAGCTCTGACAGAAACTGCTCTTTTTCAGCACTTCCATAAGTGGGCGGGGAGTGGGCAGCCCTGGACACGGGCAGAGTTATAGAATCATGGAATCATAGAGTCCAACCCCTGCCCCAGTGCAGGACCAGCCGAAAGCATCTCTGAGAAATATTCGTCCAGCCTCATCTTGAAAGCTGCCAGTGAAGGGGGGCCCACCACCTCCCGAGGCAGCCGATTCCACCTTCGAACCACTCTGACCCAGAGAAAGTTTTCCCTAATATCCAGCCGATCCCTTCCTGCATGTAATTTAAAACCACGGCTTCGAGTCCTGCCCTGTGTCCCTGTTCAGCCCAGGGGGGGTCCATCTTGTGGAGCGGGTGAATGAGCTCAAGGTCGGTGTTCTCGTGTTCTGTGATGCTGAGCAAGGACAGTGCAGGTTTCCCCAGAAGGAACTTGCCCCGGGGTGCCGCTCTACTCCATTGCAACTCCCGGCAGCTGCTGGCTGGACCCGCCCCAGACCGAAGCTCGCCTGCAGTCAAGAACATCCAGGGCCGCTGTAGCCAAGACCCGCCTCACCCCTTCGCACACCCAGCCAGCCACTGCTGTGGGAACTGTGGGATTTGCTGCCAGAGGATGTAGTGATGGCCACAGGAATAGACCGGTTTCAAAGGGGATTCGATTCATGGAGGAGAGGTCTCTCAGTGGCTGTTAGACACAGTGACTAAAAGGAACCTCCACATTCAGAGGCAGTCAACCTCTGAAGCCTAGTGCCAGGCCCAGAAGGCAACATCAGGGGAAGGCCTCGGCCTCTCTGCCCTGTTGCTGGCCCTCCGGAGGGACTGGCTGGCCCCTGTGTGAGACAGGCGGCTGGGCTAGAGGGACCCTCACTGGTCTGACCCAGCAGGGCTCTTCTGAAGTTCTTCTCAGGGGAAGGTCTTGGCCTCTCTGCCCTGTTGCTGGCCCTCCAGAGGAATTGGCTGGATACCGTGTGGGACAGGAGGCTGGAGTAGATAGGCTGGTGGTCTGATCCAGCAGGCCTCTTCTGAGGTTCTTGTCAGGGGAAGGCCTCGGCCTCTCTGCCCTGTTGTTGGCCCTCCAGAGGGACTGGCTGGCCCCTGTGTGAGACGGGCGGCTGGACTAGAGGGACCCTCCCTGGTCTGACCCAGCAGGCTTCTTCTGAGGTTCTTCTCAGGGGAAGGCCTCGGCCTCTCTGCCCTGTTGTTGGCCCTCCAGAGGGACTGGCTGGCCCCTGTGTGAGACGGGATGCTGGACTAGAGGGACCCTCTCTGGTCTGACCCAGCAGGGCTCTTCTGATGTTTTGATAATGCATCAGGAAGTCCTTGGTGAGCTACAGAGAGAGAGCTTTCGCGCGTGCTGGGAAGAATGCACCCTGCTCCAGTGCTCAGCTCTGGTGGCCCCTTCTCGCATGTCCAAGGTAGTATCGGCGGCCACTTTGGGGTCAGGAGGGAATCTTTTTCCTCCAGGCCAGATTGGCCCAGGGATCCTGGAGGGTTTTTGCCTTTTTTTCTGGGCACAGAGCAGAGGTCATTGGGGCTGGTGGTGAATTTCCTGCCCTGTGCGGGGGTTGGGCTAGATGAGCCTTGGCTCGATAGTTCTGTGTTTCCCACCCAAACGAGTCCTGGTTCCCAGGCCCACTGAGCCTCCCCCCCTTCCCCACCCACCCCACCCACTGCTGTTCTAAGCCCCCTGCCCCTGGTGCCGTGCCTAAGCCTCACCCTTCGTCCAAGAACCCCTGCGCCCTTAAGGAGGCGAAATCCACAATGCTGCAAACGGCCCAGCTTTTCCAAACTGCCATTTACTACTTTATTTCTTTAAAGTGTATACAACAGGGATCAGACCAAGTTTAAGTTAAAAAAAACAGGAGCCTGCTTGTCGTCAAACCGGTGCATCTGGAAACAACGGTGGATCTGGAAACAAGCGATGCTTCTTTGCATTCGGAGTTTCCCAAGTCCAAATTCTGCCCTTGTTAGGAACTGGGCCAACCAGCCATGTGGATGCATTGGTGCAGCTGCAGAAGCATGTCAAGTGGGGGGTGGGGAGCGGGATCATGGGGTCTGAAGGAGTGAAGGAAGGACAGGGGGTCACCGCGCAGGACTCCTCATGCCAGGGCTGCTGGCCTGTCCTCGGAATTGTCTCCCCATGGACAAGGATTAGAGACACGAACGGTGCAGTTTGCAAAAGCTTGCTTATGCATAGAATTGTTCCATTGGGAAAAAAGGTCAGAAAGCATTGGCTCGTTCGTTATTTTAAAAATCTACCGAACTGAGTCTTAAACTGAGCCCTTCTCTCTCCAACCCTGCCCCCCCAGCACCTGCCTAACCTCTCCCTATTTTCAGTAATTGCCTCACAAAGAGCAGCAAAGGGCTAGTTTTTTTCAGTGCCAGAGCCAGTGTTCCCTCTAAGCTCAGTTAGTGTGAGCTAGCTCACAGTTTTTTAGCCTCAGGCTCACACATTTGTGTCTCAGCTCAGGATGGATGGCTCCAGAGCACACTAATTTATGCAGCAGCCAAATGGCTCGCTCACAACTTTAATGCCAGCAGCTCACAAAGTAGAATTTTTGCTCGCAAGACTCCACAGCTTAGAGGGAACACTGGCCAGAGCCCCAGTTGGTTCTTGGCTCTTTTCCCACCAGCTCATTGGCATTCTGCTTTTCCTAGCCTGAATGTGCTTTCATCCCCGGGGCCAAGATTAATCCTCAGAATTGATTTTGTACTGCCATGATTGGAAGAAGCGAAGTAATAACCATGGAGAACCAGATATCTGAACCTGTGCAGAGTGCTTTTTCAGCCCCGCGAGTGCCAAGGCTGCTCCTCACAGACAAGGATTTAGGCCTACCTGGGAGAGACACAAGACCTACCGGTGGCCCTTCAGCTGCAGGCTAGCAGGGGGAAGGGCTTCTGCTCAGGCAGGACACCAGCTAGAATTTGGAAGGAGAATTTTAATAGGGTTTTCCAGAATTTCTCAGAGGAGGAGTTCTGTGCCTCTCTAGCTGGGCACATCCAGCCCTCCAGGGAAACGTGGGGTCTGGAAGGCGCTGGGGCCGTGGGAGGCACAAAGGCCGTGCTTTGTGGACCAGGCGACGGGCCGCCTTTGAAGCCTCTAGTCAGGCTGCTGCGTCTGGCAGGACGGGTAGCCCTGGCGAAGGCAGCCGTCTGCTTCGCTAGCGCTGATATTCCGGTGGCTGCGCTGATGAGCACGCATGTTGGAGCCCTGGCTAAAGACCCGGGGGCACAGCGGGCAGGCGTATGGCTTCTCGCCCGTGTGGAGGCGCTCGTGGGAAACCAGGTTGGACTTCTGGGAAAAGCGCTTGGGACAGCGGCTGCAGGCGTAGGGCTTCTCCCCCGTGTGGATGCGGATGTGGGCCACCAAGTAGGGCTTGCAGCGGAATGGCTTGGCACAGACTGGGCAGATGAAGGGCCGGTCGGCCGCAAGCAGAGGCTGAGGCGGAGGCAAAGAGATCTGCAGCTGAGGAGGATCGCTTGGGAAGCAGGGGGCGTGGGTGTCCTGCGGGGGTCGGTGGGGTTGGAACACCTCCATCCGGAGGGAGTCTGCCGCGGGGCGCGGGGACTGGAAGTTCTCCCCATTGAAGGCATCCAGTGGGTGGCTGGGGGGAAGAGGGTCCCGGGTGTGGATCTTCTGGTGCGAAAGGAGGTTGGGCTTGTGGCGGAAGCTCTTGCCGCACTGCCCGCAGACGTACGGCTTCTCCCCGGTGTGGATGTGCTGGTGGGAGGCCAGGTAGGCCTTGCTGCCAAAGGACTTGCCGCACTCCTGGCACGGGTAGCGCCGTTCGCCCGTGTGGACTTGCCGGTGGGCCAGGAGGTTGGGCTTGTGCCGGAAGCTCTTCCCGCACTGGGTGCAGGCGTACGGCCGGTCGCTCGCCATCTGGGACAGGGCTCCGGCTTTGGGCACGGAGCCCGCGATCCCTTCGGCCGCCATGTGGACCAACTGGTGGGTGACCAGCTCCTCCCAGCCGTGGAAGCTCCAGCCACACTGGTCGCAAATGAACTCTCCGCTGCCGTGCAGCCCCAGAGCCTGGGGGCCCGGCAAGGGCGGAGGCCCGTAGCCGAAGGACCAGGGGTTGAAGCCGTGGGCGGCGGGGGCCTGCTGGTGCAGCGCCATCTCGGGCCAGAAGGGCAGGCTCCCCTCTCCCTGGCTGACGGGGCTGGGGTTGGCGCTGGTGCCCGGGGGCCCCTCCGGAGGCACGGCTGTATCCGAGGTGGCAGAAGACTGGCCCCCGCTCTGCGGGCGCTGCCGGGCCCACTTCCGGAGGTGCAGGCGCCGGTGGGCGGTCAAGGCAAGGCGGCCCAGGAAGCTCCGCTGGCACCGGGGGCAGCTATAGGGCTTCTCCCTCCTCCAGCTCCTCTGCGCTGTTTTCTCCGCGTCCCTGGTGGTTGGTCGTGCCCTGGCCGGCCTCTGCCTGCCCTGGGACCGGGCCCTCTTGGGCCTCTTCCCCGCAGTCCTGGGGTGTCGAGGAAGGGTCCCCTGCAGCGGCTCAGAGCTTAGCCTGGGTGGGTGAAGTGGGGGGCACCCCCTTCCTTCCTGATCCGGACTCCGGGCTGCTCCGTCGGCTGCAAGGAGACAAGGGCAGCGTCAAGGGCTTGGGTTCAGGCAGGTGCCTGGCCAGGCCAGCGGTGGGTCATGGCAAGGCAAGCAGAGCTCCGGCTGGCTCCTCCCTGCCCCTCTTCCCCTTCCCATAACCTACTAGGGCCTGCCCGGGACCAGCCGAGGGGCAGAGGCCCTCCCTCGGAGACTTCCAGCCGCCCTCTTCAAGGAAACAAAGCATATCGTTCGATCTGTTTTGTGAAATCCCAATTCCAGATGGACGAAATTCTCCGGAGTTAAACTTCCGTTTCGTAAGAAGAACTTCTTCCAAACATCAGATTCTCAGCAGTTGTCTCTACTCATTCCATGGTTAGATCCATTACCATTCATCAACTTCCTGAAGGGTAGGACATATTCTTGCAAGACTGAGTCTTTCCAAATAACGGGCGAACCAGTTCAGTATCAACCCTTGTTTGCCCGTTATTTGGAAAGACTCAATCTTGCAAGAATATGTCCTACCCTTCAAACAACTGCTGAGATTTGGATGTCTGGAAGAAGTTCTTCTTACAAAACGGAAGTTTAACTCCGGAGAATTTCGTCCATCCGGAATTGGAATTTCACAGAGATCGAACGATATGCTTTGATTCTATGAATTCCTGTAATTTTGTAAGATTATAAGCGCTTTTTGCATTATTTCAGCTTCCTTGTTATTCTTTGATGTTGACTATATGAGCTGCACCCACCCCCTTGCATGTCGGCCCTCTTCAAGGAAGGCAAAAGGAGGAGAAAGTGCAAAGCGGTTCACACACACAGCCTGCAGCCCCGGACAAAGTGCGGTATCCCAAGCCCTTACCTGGAGAGTCGCCGTTCCCTGCGGGGAGTGGGGGGTCTGCTTCACACGGGGCCCCTCCTGGAGCCAGTCGGGACAGGAGTTCAGGAATGGAGAGCAGGCATTCTGCAGGGAGACGGGCAAAAGGCCCAAGAAGCATTGGGGTCAGCATCTATGGGACAGCCCTTCCTGGGTGTCCTGGCTTGACTGTGGGGCACCCCCCCACCGCACTGGTGCTCAGGGTTCCCTCTAAGCTGAGTCAGTGTGCGCTAGCTCACAGTTTTTTAGCCTCCGGCTCACACATTTTTGTCTTAGCTCAGGAAGGATGGGGCTCCAGAGCAAACTGATTGATGCAGCAGCCAAATCGCTCGCTCACAACTTTAATGCCAGTAGCTCACAAAGTGGAATTTTGGCTCACAAGCAGTGCTTCCCCTAAGCTGGGTTAGTGTGAGCTAGCTCACAGTTTTTCAGCCTCTGGCTTACACGTTCCTGTCTTGGCTCAGGAAGGGATGGCTCCAGAGCAAACTGACTGATGCCCCAGCCAAATCGCTCACTCACATCTTTTAATGCCAGGAGCTCACAAAGTGGAATTTTGGCTCACAAGCAGTGTTCCCTCTAAGCTGGGTTAGTGTGAGGTGGCTCACAGTTTTTCAGCCTCTGGCTTACGCATTTCGGTTTTAGAAGGAGGGCTCCAGAGCAAACTGATTGATGCCCTAGCCAAATCGCTCGCTCAGAACTTTAATGCCAGTCGCTCACCAAGTAGAGGTTCTGCTCACAGGACTCCACAGCTTAGAGGGAGCGTTGCTGGTGCCCTGCTGGATGACGGGTCCAACTGGCATCTCACTGAGCTCAGAACCAGCCCGAGGGCCCCCTGAGATCCCCTGTGAGGAGGCCGATGATGGGGTGGGAATCGACTCTTGGATCCCCTGCTGTTTTCGTGGCACGCTGAGCAATCCGGCTGAAGGGGCTGCCTGGGGCTGACTGTCCTGAGATCACCCGCAGCTGGCCTTGTGGACTGGCACTGGTGGGGCACAGGGGAGTCAACCCCTCACTAGGCCAGGCTGCTGGGCCGTCCTTTGGGAAGAGAGGAGGGAGGGCTCTCCCCCCGGAATGTGGCCTGGGGGCTGGCAGGGGCCTGAAGCGTCTCTTTGGGCTCCTCTTCCTTTCCTGCAGTTTCTAACTGTCCCTCCCGCAGGGCGGGGGCCCCCTGACCCATGACATGACGCCTGCACTGGTGTTAAAGAAGCCCCCTGATTCCCAGAGGGGATGGCTGCGAGTCCAGCACCAGACCCCCCCAGAAGGGAACGAGAAGCCACGCTCAACTTTACCCAGCGAGGAGACAAGCTCGTAATTCTCCACCATGACGTCTTGGTAGAGCTCCTTCTGCCATTCCGCTAGCTCTGCCCACTCCTCTGGCGAAAAGTAGACCGCCACGTCCTCAAAGGCCACGGGCACCTGCAACGAGCACAGCCCTGCTGAAGGACTCCCCTGCCCAAGGACGGAGCCACACCTGCCGAGGCCCCTGGGCGACACCCTTCTGGGGGGCAGCCGGCTGGGTGTGCAAGCTTTGGAAAGTCAGTGCATGAGACGGAGGGAGCGCCACCTCTCAAAAGCTCAGAGCCCTAAAATCTTGTCTGCCTCTGAGGTGACGCTGCATTCGAATCCAGTCAAGGAAGAGATTGGATTTGTACCCCGCCCTTCATTCTGAGTCTCAGAGCGGCTTACAGTCTCCTTCGCCTCCTCACAACAGACACCCTTTTCAGAACTGTCCTTGAGAGAACAGCTCTGACAGAACTGTGGCTTGCCCAAGGTCATCCAGCAGCTGCAAGTGGAGGAGGAGTGGGGAATCAGACCCGGTCCTCCCAGATTAGAGTCCATGTGCACTTCACCACCACACCAAACCAAAAGAGGCTCCGCAGGATGACCAACGAACGACAGTTTGGCAATTTCTTGTCGTTTCTTTGGTATCTGCAGGCCCCTCGTCATGCGCGCTTCCTTTCTCCCATTGCTGTCTCTGAAGAAGCCGGCCTGGTTGCCCCGAGGACCCTCTCTGGACCCAAAGGGAAGCGGGTCATGCAAAGCAAGCCCCGTGCCCCTCCCGCCCTCTTTCCCCAGCTCCATCGTGGCCCGATCGCAGGCGGCAGGGCTGCAAAGTTCTGGCCCAGCTGCTGCTCCACGTTGGCTGCAACCAAGGCCCGCCTTACACCGAAGGGAGGCGAAGGGCGAGGGTTCTGGCAACGGGTCCCAAAGGGGGCCTCGTTTCAAGCAGATGCGCAAGGGTGGCCCTGCAATTTCAGCTCCTGAGCGGAGGAGCCAAAGGCTGTCCTGACCAGTGTTCCCTCTAAGCTGAGTGAGCGTGAGCCAGCTCACAGTTTCTTAGCCTCCGGCTCACACATTTTTGTCTTCTTCGCTCAGGAACGAGGGCTTCGGAGCAAACTGATTTATGCAGCAGCCCAATCCCTCGCTCACAACTTTAATGCCAGGAGCTCACACAGTAGAATTTTTGCTCACAGGGCTCCGTAGCTTAGAGGGAACATTGGCCCTGACACACACACACCCCACATCCTCCAAATAGCACAAGTTGCCCACACACCTGGTCTGGCAGCGCACCAGCCCACAGCCGGGGACGGAGAACAGGGGCGCAGCCTCTCCGCTTCCCCTCAGGCGTTGCAGGGGCCACGGCCGGCCCACCCTCTTCCTCGCCCCCCCGAAAGGAGTGCAGGCCAGCGCCTGAGCCTTCCGAAGGTGCCGGCCACTTTCCTGCTCACCTGTTCAAGATTCAGCAGCTGCAGCAGCAGCAGCACCAGCAGCCTCTAAGGTCTGGGAGGTACAGAGGACTGTTCCCACAAAGCAGATCTATGCACGGGGTGGGGGTGGGGGGCACGTTCCTCTACCATTGCATTTGGTCCTCTAATCTGTTCTAATTCTGCAGAGTGCCGCTTGGTTGATCAGTCCAAAGCCCACCCGTCCCAGGCAGGGGGTCCATCCCAGGGCCTACCTGAACGAGGCCCCGTCCGGCCATCTCTCCAGCAGGCCAGCGGAAGGGTGCCGTCCTCGGCCGGGGCGCCTTGCTTGCTGCAAGGGTGTCCCCCCCCCC